CGTCGCACCTCAGCCGGCCCCCGCCGCTGCAGTCTCGCCTCTGCCGCGGCCCGCTTCATCGCGCCTCCCCGAGCCGCCCGGCCTCGAGCCTCCACTTCGCACGCCTCCCCGAGCTGGCCATGACCTCCGCCGTCTTGCCAGCCGACGTCCGCACGCTTCTCCGCGCCTCTGTGGCCAAGCTCCAGCATGTCGCCGCGCTCGCTCGTTGTGCCGCTCGCCCTGCCAACGCTCCAGCGCAGCGTGCCCCGTAGCTCGCCCGACGTCGTGGCTCCGTGTGCCCCGCCCTTGCCCGCGCGCTCGAGCATTGTCGCCATTGGTCTTGCTGAAGGGCAGCACCAAGGAGAGCTGGACGCTCGACATGGTGCTCACGGCGTTCCACCTGGTCTTCTTCGCCTTCATCATCGTGGCCGGCTTCTAGAACTAGAGCGCGCGCAACATGGGAGGAGGACAAGGAGGAAGGCGGCCGCCTCATCGACGGCGGGGCTGCGGGTGGACGGTACGCCGCCGCCCAGGAAGCAAGGAGCGGCACCAGGATCTTGGCGGCGTCCAGGGCGTCCTCGACAACGCGGTCGTCGTCTCCTTCAGCTACATCGGCGACGACTCCGCGTCCAACATGGCTCGAGGAGATCGGGGACCCCGCCTGCGCGTTGCCCGTCGGCATCGCCGGCTCTGTGCTCATCGTCTCCCCTGCTCGTAGGTGGTGAAGGCGTGCACCACCGCCGTCACCTGCTCGCGCTCCAGGGCACCGGCCTCGGCTACTCGTGGGAGGTGGGCGCTGGGCTTCTTCAGCAGCGGCAAAGGCGCTCGCGGGGACGGCGCAAGCGGGAGCGGGTCCGGCGCGGCTCGGCTCAAGCGCCGTCGGTGTAGAGGCGCGGTGCGGCGGCCAGTAGGCGTCGTCGGCGAGGCGTTCTATGCGGGCGGGAGTTGGTGGGGGAGAGAAAGATAAGATAATCACGTGGGCGGGCCTCAAGAAAAAGTGAGGAGAGAGGGAGTGGGAGGCTGACAATGGGCCCAAAATAACTAAAGTAGCCTCTCTCCTCCCCCAGCTGCCCCCCAGGATTATGGGTTCGGGGTGCAAGCGCCGGCCGTAGTTTTGGCCAAATCCGGCGATTTTTGAGCTCGTGGGAGCGCGAGTGGAAACTTTTTTGTCCGCCGGCGCCCGAAAAGTGCTCTTGGGGGCCTTCCTAGGGGGACGGGTGGAGATGCTCTTAACCTTCACGATCTCCACCCTCGTCATCATGCTAGCGGACGCCACTTCTTTCGCCTTGATCTTGCAGACTCGATCTCGAGCATCTTGGCTTGCTTCTCCGCCTTCATCTCAAACACCCTAGCTTGCTTCCCTGCCTCCATCTCAAGCCTTCTTATTTGGATCTCCATGAAGGCGTTCATTTGCTCTTCCTTGTCTTGCCGGCGCTTCTCCTCCCTTGTGTCCTTTTTGCTCATCATGCCCTCTACGCTTGCAAGCAAGGCGACCGACGCCGCATCGCGCTTGTCCTCCTTCTTGGAGT